TACAACAACAACAACGGCGACAACAATCAAGCCAACAACAACCTCAGCGGCAACAACTACGATGCCAACAGCGACAGCGTCATCAAACACAAACCATAGCCGTTCCCCAGCCTGCAGCAACGCCAGCCTCAACCCAGGGGCTGGTCAACCAAATTGTTTCGGCCCTCAGCCAACTCACTGGATCGACAAGTGCACCAGTACAAGGAGGCCAGCATGTCGAAGTCCGGTCAGGCCGCGTTGAGGACGATTTGATCGATCTCGGTAAGGCCGTCGTAAAAGCAAAAGCAACAAATATCCAAAATAAGAATTGGAATTTGTGTAATCGGTCCATAAAAAAATCAGTTTTTCATCAATATATTGCTTAAATAGTATATTAAGAACTTCTTTGAAAATATGTAACAATTTAAAATAAATTCATAAAATAAAAATAAACATTTTTCAAAATTGTTAGAAAAACAAGAAACATGCAAATAGTTGTATGGAAAAAAATATGAAATATTTATAAAACTTAGTTTTTCATCGAATTTCATAAAATAAAATGTTTAGTTTTTATGTACCTACGTGATTTTATTATTAGGTCTGTTCGCGCACTTTCCAGTAATAAATATACAGTAACTTTATGATGGAGAGTAATTTTTAATTTACTCTCAATCAAAAAAATATCCAAAAAAGTACGCGAAAGCAAATTAGTAAAAAATTCAAGTTTTTGTTAAAACTTCACGTTACAAACATACTAGTAAAATAATAATTTACACAAAATCACTAAGAGAAAGACAAACCAAATTGTTTTAAAAACGCTAGATTTATATATTTCTTTCAAAAAATATAAAATTTATAAAGTTTTCGTTTTCTTTGGTTTGTTTACATATTCATATATTAACCATATGTTGTGAATATATGTTGGATATTTTTTACTGGGCAAAAAATATCCAGTAAAATCAAAAAAGTCTCTATCAACGAATTGTCATTTTTATCGCTCTCTTACTCTATTGTTGCAAGTTTTCAAAAGTACGCGAACGGAATCCAGTAACAATTGTTGCAAATTGTTACAAATTATCGAGTACGCGAACAGAAAGATATTAAAATTATCTTTCTTGTGTTAACCCATTAATGCCCACAGTTACATATACGTAATGCAAATTAATTCGAATTTGGACTCGAAATGCACAGAAATGGAAAATGCAAAGTTACCTTTTTCTGATGGATAGGTTAACTTAACATGTTCTTAACGATTTGAGTAATTTTTGCCTATAGGAATGTATTTTTGGGTGTAAAGTGTCTATTTCGTAAACCTGCAAAAAGTCATATTTTTCGAGGAATGAATTCTTAGAATGTTAATAACTTCTATGTAGTTACTTTTTAAAAAAAAGTTTCTGACGTAAACTTATAAAGAAGTAATTAAAGTTTATTCCCCAATTGTTTATAAACATATACCATGTCCTTGCGGAGACTTATATAGAGGATAATAAAGGTGTTACGTATATGTAACAGTGGAGAGTTCTCAGTACTTTTGTCCCTCTCTAAATGATGTATCTTTTACTTAAAATACTTAAGGGACAAATATTCGTGGGTAATGCCCACTGTTACGTATACGTAACGTCTTCTAAAATCCAAACAAGGCAAGATAGAAAAAATTTTTTAATTGAAATCGGTTTATATATACAAGTAAACTGTCCTATCCAAATTTCACATTTCTACCTTATGTAGATCGCCGTGGGCATTAATGGGTTAAGATAGGGGGTAGGATGCAATGTTTGTATTGTAAATTGTTTTGAAAAAAAAAATTGTTTTCGACGGTATCCCTACCAAATTAATTGTTTGTAGTAAAAACTATACTGGCATTTTAAAAGCTAATATTTCATATAATTATATGTACTTTATTCCGGTATAGCCACAATTTTAGATTTTGGAGTAGGATCCGAGATATCAAAGAGTCGCGCATACAATACGACGCACAGTGGGGCAGAATGGAAATTTTTTGGAAATAAATCTGGCATTTCTAAACGGCTGATCCGATCGGGATAAAATTTGGCGTGAGCGTAGCCAAGGAGTATTCGAGTTTAAGTTTTGAAGATGAACCCTGCAGATGCCCCAGGGACGGCGCTGTGGCGGCTCAAAGTAGGGTACCTACGACATGTTAAATTTTTAAACTCGTGCCATTTTTTTTTTTTTTTTGAAGATGAACCCTGCAGATGCCCCAGGGACGGCGCTGTGGCGGCTCAAAGTAGGGTACCTACGACATGTTAAATTTTTAAACTCGTGCCATTTTTTTGTTTTTCACCCAAATACAAATATAATAAAATTATAATTTTTTTATTGTATATACAATGTTATAGTCTTTAATAAAATAATTAACTAAATAATTTTCAAAGAGTCGCGCATACAATACGACGCACAGTGGGGCAGAATGGAAATTTTTTGGAAATAAATCTGGCATTTCTAAACGGCTGATCCGATCGGGATAAAATTTGGCGTGAGCGTAGCCAAGGAGTATTCGAGTTTAAGTTTTGAAGATGAACCCTGCAGATGCCCCAGGGACGGCGCTGTGGCGGCTCAAAGTAGGGTACCTACGACATGTTAAATTTTTAAACTCGTGCCATTTTTTTTTTTTTTTTTGAAGATGAACCCTGCAGATGCCCCAGGGACGGCGCTGTGGCGGCTCAAAGTAGGGTACCTACGACATGTTAAATTTTTAAACTCGTGCCATTTTTTTGTTTTTCACCCAAATACAAATATAATAAAATTATAATTTTTTTATTGTATATACAATGTTATAGTCTTTTAATAAAATAATTAACTAAATAATTTTTAAAAATTGTCCAAATATTTTATTCAACACCAAATGTATGTTCTGTCATATTTAATACTAAAATATGAAAAATATGAAATTAAAGGATACAGGTTTAAATGAACATATTTTTGAATGTAATTGAGATATTGGCTTGAAATTTTTTGTAAAGAATCGAGAATTTCCATATCTAACTAAAAAAAGATATTAAGGGATAAATATGGACTAAATTGTTGTAGCTATCTGCGACCCTATTAAAATTTTGATATAAATCATAGTTTTAGAAATTAAACAAATATGTAATATATGACAAAATCTTTATTTATGAACAAAACTCAATGAAATTAATTAAATTTGTCATTTCAAATAAAAAAATGCAAAAAAAATTGAAAAGGTCAAAGGGCATCACGCAATTCCCAAAAATAGGAATGAAAATCCCAAAAATGGGATTTTTACTTTTTTGCCCATAGGGTCCACATTTCTTTCAGGGCTGGGAAAATACTTTTGGAGTAAATAGAAAACATATTGAGGTTTCCAAAACTGCTTTTAGTTTTCTGATCCCAGCTTTGGGATTTTAGAACATGTCGCCCAAAGTTGAAGTTTTGATAAAAAATAGGTCACATTCGGAAGGACGCAGTGGCAACATTTTCAAAAAATAAGACAAGTTTTTTACGCCAAAGCATTCTGCGTAAAGATACCTTTTAGAAAACTATAAAATTGTTATATGTTCTTAAAGAAAATTTTATTTTATTAATAAAAGAGTTAAGACACATTTTTGGCTAAAAAACGGCAAAAATCTAAAATTTTTTGAATTTTTAAATTAAAAAACGTATATTTTTGGATCTGTAAATGATATTGATCTGAAATTTCTTGTATATTATTGGAAATTTTGTTGTCTAACTAACAAGAAAAAATTGAGTCCATTTGGTCCAAAATTACGCCCGGTATTCAAAAAAAGGCGGACCAAGGTATGGTAAATAAGTAGTATGTCCAAGCATGTTTTTTCAAGATCTCGTCGAGCGCTTTCAGAAAATATCTGAATCTTTGTATTTGGGTGAAAAACAAAAAAATGGCACGAGTTTAAAAATTTAACATGTCGTAGGTACCCTACTTTGAGCCGCCACAGCGCCGTCCCTGGGGCATCTGCAGGGTTCATCTTCAAAACTTAAACTCGAATACTCCTTGGCTACGCTCACGCCAAATTTTATCCCGATCGGATCAGCCGTTTAGAAATGCCAGATTTATTTCCAAAAAATTTCCATTCTGCCCCACTGTGCGACGTCGAATTAAAAAATTCTCTAAGAGTGAAATATAGCTGCAGTCAAGGCATAAATATTGATATATGATATGTTACGAAAGGGCGGTATTTCTAGGCGAGGCAAAAAAATATTTTTTTATATTATAGGAAATGTTATTAACACCCAGCAAAAAATCTGAAATTTTTGGTAATAGCCAGTAGTTATTTCATACATTACTTGGTAATGAGTGTTCATTATCATCCACATTATTTCATTTAGCTGAATAGGTTATTACTGGTAAAGAACAAAACAATTTGGATTTGTTATGGCTCAATTGTCTAGGTCGTTCATTTAACAAACAGGGGGTTCGTGGTTCGAGCCCTGCTGGATACTGTTTATTTTTTTTCAAAATGACATTCATTTATATATTTTTGTAAAAAGCCGTTCTTAAAATTATAAAAAGCCACATGTTAATGGAGCATCGAGTAAGCGGCTGGAGTGAGAAACATAGAAAACAACTGAATGCCTGGGTTCAAATCCCGGCCGAAGAATTTTTTTATTTTTTGTTTTCTACATACAAAGTCGGCCCAAAATAACTAGCTATCACATAACATATTTTAAAGTTTTTGTAATCAAATTAGTAACCATTTATTAATTTGTTTAAGTTAGGTACATATTATTTGAACCTCGTCGAACAAAAATAATTAGTTATGCACCCCAAAAGTAATTTGTTTCCACGTGATTCCAATATTACTTTCTAGATTACTAGGGGGTTACTGTCTCAACTTTTATTCAACCCACCCTAGTGTACAATTTTCTGCTTACTATTATTATGCAAGGGTTTTTGTCCTTTTCCTAATTATAAAGGATCCACGCTCAAAAATAAAAACTTGGAAACTAGAAAACTCTACAAAAACGTCGTTTTATTTCTTAGTAACTTTAAATAATTAATTGCACTTTCTTTCTTTCTTTAGGTCTGGTTTCAAAACAGAAGAGCCAAATGTCGAAAACATGAGCATCAATCACATAAAGGTGAGAAAAACTCTTTTACACATATATTAACAGTATATTCATAAAAATAGCTTGTTATACCCTCCACCACCATCAGTGGTGATAGACGGTATATAAAACTTTGTCACTCCGTGTGTAACACCCAGAAATATTCATCTGAGAACCAACAAAATATATATTCTTGGACCTTATAAAATTCCGAGTCGATCTAGCTATGTCCGTCTGTCTGTCTGTCTGTATAAAACATTCTCATGTTAACACGAAGCAACAAAAATTAACGAAATTCACCCAAAATATTTACTATTGTCCTAGGCAGTTTGGTATTGAAAATGAGCAAAATCGTTTCACATCGGGAAAAGTTATGAATCAAAATTTGAAAAAAACTCCGAAAAAGATAAGCATTTTTTTTCACATTCTGATGCATTTTCTCGAAAACTATGCAAGATATTTCATAAAAATCATCATTAAATCTTTTACACACATGCATACATGCAAATTATTAAATATCGCTAAAGCATATCTTATTTCTACAAATATTTGATCAATTTAAAAAAGTATTAATATAAAAGTAGCTGGTGGAGGGTATTTAAGATTCGGCTCAGCCGAATATAGCACTCTAACTTGTTATATGTATACTTTGAGCTAGACTAGCCAGATTTGAAATCGGTTTAATACGTAAATTCAAGGCGAATTCATATAAGGTGATGTTATTCAATCAGATGATTATTTTTTCTAGACTAGACTGGTACGCACTGATGTCAGAGATTGTTATTGTTTAGATTTTAATATTTAAAAATTTCCGTTAAAACAGAGAAAAACTTCGTTAGTATTTTGAAATATTTATGTAAAAACTCTGAAAAAAACAATATTATTTTATTTAAATAATGGCATAATTGGTATTTATATAAACCAGGGACTGTAAATAACAGTTATTCTGAAATTTTTAACCAAAAAAATCTCTATATTGGGGTTAACGTAGACCTATACTATTATATACCAATATACTCGTATTGAAGTGCTTTTTCAGAATATATGGTGATTTGAAAAAAAACGATCTTAGCTCCACAAATAACAGTTATTTTTTAACGGAAAAATAAAAGTCTGATTGAAACAGTTAAAAAATGAGTTTTATTTTTCCGTCATAAAATAAAAATTATTTGAGGAGTTTTATTTTTTCCATCAAAAAATAAAACTCATTTGGGGACTATTATTTTTTCCGTCAAATAATTAAACAATTTTTCTTTATTTTTTTCAGTCTCTTATTTTATTGAATGTATCTGATATAATATGTTTGGTTATTTAGTTGTTTAATTTAACAAACATAATTTTCTGCGGAAAGATTTGAACGCAGGTCACTTAATACCAATTTAAGAGCAGAGAACGCTCTTTCCACGCTAACATGTGTTGCAGGAACACACTGTTCAGTTTTTGCCAATTTGTATAAGTAGGGGTAATGTATTTTTTTGCTTCCCAGAACTCAAAAAGGGACTTATCAATCGACAAGGGCCGTGGAGAAAAATTATCGATTTCATAGAAAGCTTTTTTTTCATCATCATTATCATTTTCTTCGTTTTCTTGCTCCCTATCTGATCAGTGGCAAGCTTTAGGTGTCAATTCACATAAAAGAGTTTTATTTTCTGACGGAAAAAATAAAACTCCTCAAATAAGTATTATTTTCTGACGGAAAAAATAAAACTCCTCAAATAATTTTTATTTTGTGACAAAAAAATAAAACTCTTTTTTAAAAGTTTCATTTGAATTTTTATTTTTAGGTTAAAAAATAACTTTTTCAGATGGATTTTTATTTTTAAAGTCACAAAATAACTGTTAAAAATTAACTTTTTTGATGTAACTTATAACTGTTACGGTCCCTGATATAAACGTTTTATTTAAGAAAAATATTTTTTTATTAAATATTAATAAATTAAACAATCCTGTTTCATATTTTATATTTATATTGTGTTGATAACGTAATTAACTGAAAAAGTTATCATCCGAAACACTATATAATGAAATCCATATGAAATATTTATACCGTCCGGCGGAAGCTGACTTCTACATTATGAACCAATTTTAAAATCCGTTAAATGTTAACAAATTAAATAATATTTTTTCATATTTACATTGTATATATAACGTGATTAACTAAAAAAATCCGTTCCGGATCACTTTATATACTAAAACCCATTACGTTCTTAACCGGGACCCAAATTCGAAATTATGAAAATTACTCCCCCGGAATAGAATTGGACATAACCAAATCGACCCAGATAAGGACCAAGAATATATATATATATATATATATATATATATATATATATATATATATATATATATATATACATATATACATATATATATATATATATATATATATATATATATATATATATATATATATATATATATATATATATATATATTAAAAGTAACACTATGTGATTCTTTTAGCATCTGTGGATGTGAAGTTTATTGACTTCCAAAATAGCGAAAATAATTCCATTTTTCAAATCTGAAGATATGTATATTTTTACTGTACTGACATTTTTTGAGTTAAAAAATGTATTTCGAGATTTTATGTAAAATTCCTTTATTTATGTTAATATTATTTATGTAAAATTAGTTTTATTCTATAATACTATAATTTCAACAAGTAACAGTGTTATATTCGACTAAGCCAAATCTTATGTACCCACCATTAAATCATATGCCGTATATTTGTAATAACCCAGCTAAAGACGATCATATGTATATGATTACATATGAATCATATATGGACCATATACATATATTCATATATGTATGTCCATATCCGAAAAATGGCGATATATGATCATGTCATACATGGACACAAAGGCAGAGACAGCCACTATTCGCAACACCTGAAAAATTACAGAATTTTATATTTGGGACACAAGTATACAGTCAGAAGGACTAAAAGATGAAAATGTGGAAAATTGGTGGGTGATACGACTTTTTTATTTCCATATTCGGAATCAGCACACCAAATAACACTATAATTAGTGAAAATTATTTAAAAATTGTTTTCATCGTTGGCCTGTGTTATTGACCGATCACCATAAAACTAAGTGATTTTCTGAAGGGGACTTTATATGTAGGGTAGGGTCAATTATATACCGATCTTCATTAAATTTAGTAGAGATATTTTCGCTCGTATTAAAATTATTTGTGTCAAACTTCATTACTGTACTCGTATTTTTAAGCCAGTAATGAGCGTTAAAGCCATTTTCTGAAGGGGACCTTATATGGGGTGTAGGATCAATTATGGACCGCTCCCCATACAATTTGGTAAACAGATTTGGCTCATATAAAACTTATTTATTTCGAATTTCATTCCTATACACGTATTTTTGAAACAGTTATGATTGGCAAAGCTATATTTCGGTGGGACACTTGTAAGAGGCCTATGCGAATTAGTGGACCGATATTACCCATTTGCTATACAAAAAAAACCTTACCTATAAGGAATATTTGTAGAAAATTTTACCTCTCTAGCTCGTTTGTGCTTTAAACAGACAGACGGACGGACATGGCTAGATCGTCTTTAATTTAATAAAGACCCGGAATTTAATTAAGACCCAGAATATATATGTATATATATGCTTTTGCGGGTCTACGACCAATATTTCGATATGTTACAAACGGAATAACAAAACCAATATACCCCATCTGTTTTAATGGTGGGTATAAAAATTACTTCTTGAGAATAACTTCAGAAGTAGCGAATTTGGAATCAAATATTAAGGACATCCCTCCTATGACATGCCAAAAAATCATTACTTCTTCAGGTCTTTTTCAGTACTTCCATGGAAGTTCTCTTTTTGCTGGGAATTTAATACACTATGAACTAAATATGTTTTTTTTTTGTGAACTAACTATTCCCCTGCAAACATTTTTAGAGTATATAATCTGTTTAGTAGTCCTATCGGAAGCAAACATGTTGATTTTTTATGTAATCTTATAATTTTAGTAAAAGAGTTTAGAGGATTACTCTGATGTAATGCATGGATTACGTGATCCTCCATGAACATGACAATGTTAAATGTATAATGTTTTTATACCCTACACCACGTTAGTGGGGAGGGTATATTGGGTTTGTGCTAATGTTTGTAACATACAAAAATATTCCTCCTATAACCACTTTAAAGCATACCAATCGGCTTAGAATCGTTTTCTGAGTCGATTAACGACTATTGAAATTGGTTAAAATCGGTCCATTATTTCACCTAGCCCCCATACAACAGAACCCCCCGAAAAGGGCTTCTGAGCTCATAATTATGTTAAATATACCTGTATATTGATAAAATGCGGCACAACTAAGTTTTATAGAAGTCTTGATGACCCTAGCTCCCATACAAAATCCCCTTCAGAAAATTGAATGTCCAAAATTAACTTATATACACAAATATCGCGATGAAATTCAGCACAATAAAATATTATGTAAACATAAATATATTCACAAAATTTTATCGGGCTTGGTCCATATTTGCCCGTAGCCCCATATAAAGCCTTTTTCAGAAAATTGGTTTTTCATCCATAAATTGTATCGGAACAAGGGAATATTGAAGATAAATGCTTTATTATGAAAAATAAATCACATTTAACAATCATAACTGGTGTAGGGTATCATATGGTTGGCCACGCCCGACTATACTTTCCTACTTGTTATATTTGGATAAGTTTTGGTCCAGTCCCTTTACACAAGGTAAAATAAATATTTATTTTTATATAATACTAATGTTTAAAAAATTGTTCTTAAAGTACAGAATATTTAAGTTATCTTCAAATTTATAAAAACGTTGTCACTTTTGGTAAAAATGTTGTTATTATAGTTATAAATAAAAGTTTTACATAAATTCCCGGGATTCCCTGGAAATTAATTTTTTCATTCCTGTTTCCCAGGGAATTGAAAAGTTCGGGCAAACTCTAGATATAATGTAAAATAAGCTTATACTATGTTTCCACTAGATTTGCTTAAACCTCTTCAAGGTTTTTCCACT